GTCGGTTTAGCGGAGAAAAGGTCAATCAGGCAAATTTGAACGATTTCGTGTGCTCAGGACCTGTAAAGGGGTTAATAAACACGGATAATACGTCAGAATTCCAGGGGCAAACGCGATATGATCGTGGCACGCAGAGCGTAACGAGAAACGTCAAAGTTATGCTTTGAACAATCACGAGCACCGCTCGAATTCGACTCCGCAACGCGGCGCCGACTTCCTTCCTGTTCCCTGGTCTCTCCTTTTTGACTAACCAGAATCTACGGATACAAAAATTGGAATCTCCATCGTGGAAAGATTCGATATATCCAAGATTGTGAAGTTTTGAATCGCTTCGAATGCGGTGCTTGTCGGTTTCGAGTGACAAAGTCGAGCCAGTTCGTTTGCAAACGCGACGTGTGATAATTTTTGTGAAAGTAGATCGATAAAGATGGGTTGCGCACATTTTATGGACGTAAATAGTGGAGATGATTCTATTCTGTCGTCTGATTCTCGAGGATTTGGAATACATTGAATTCGTTTCTTTAATTTCGTCAAATCGAAGAAAGATTGAGAAATACTGTTTCTATTTGTTTTATGTCGTATATACGAAGTTAGGTCTGGATCAGGACTAGTTTCGATCTTTCCTACTTAAACTCTTGTTTAAAGTGCCCTAATAAATTACGGGGCTATTTTAGCCTAGAATTAAAAGAAAATCTGTTAAAAATATATCTGCTGAAGGATTTAAGTTGAATTTGGAAAATCAATGTCAATTAAATACCGGAGATATATATTCAATTTAAATACCTGTTCTTCATTTACGTATATAAAAATATGAGCCTACGTCCACGCCCAATATATCCTTAAAATATAAATAAATGTATGTACTATGTAAAATATACACCATAAAAATGAATTCCTTACATATTCGAGAAAACGAAAATGCAAAAGAACACCTCGAAATTGACGCTCTAGACAGGAACGCTTCTTTAAAAATTGTCCTCGAAACACCGTGATCTTCTCGAACGTCCTGAAACGCAACAAGTGGAAACTCAAAGAGAGCCTTTCTCCCCGGTATCGAGTTCCATCCGTCTCGCGACGGATCGTTCGTCAAACGTTAAGTGTCCATCGCTGTTTACGCAGTTTCCAATCCAGTTCTTGGTCCGAGGACAGGTCGAGTCGTCGAAGACCGTCGCGTTGACAAAAAGCGCGTCGAACGCAGGAAATTAGATTCGAAGGTACGCGGAGGCAAAGAGCGAGCGTTCGATCCAGAAGGCTCTGGCTGGCTAATGCTCAAACGAAGACGTTCGACGAGGCGTTAAGGATACGTCGAGGCGCGATAACGACCGATTGTTAAGGGAATCGTGCGTAGGTTAGCGGCGACGGTATTCACGGCTGGCTGGGAAACAGAAAGGGGGAAAAAAGGAACGACGACGGCGGGGTACGGCGTCGATCCTGAAGACGAATCGACGTTTGATGGCTCATTCGACTCGAAAATGTACACCCACGCCTAACGATAGAGCAGATAGCAGGACTCACTCGCTGGGGTTCCAGATGACGAAATAAAACTCGGTCCTCTGAGTCCTTCCACGCGAAACTGAGAAGCTTTTGGAGCAACATCTCGAATTTTTGGGAATTTCGGACGTGTTGTTTGTATAGATTTTTGAAGTCGAGTGAAGCGTTTCTTTTCAATAAATTATGACTAGTGTACTAGTAAATGGATAAGAATGAAATTTTTGGAGCTGATAGTGAAGTGGAGTAAGAATAGCAAATGGAAATTGTTGATTTTATTGATGTTTGCAGTCTACTGCCAAATTTTTTTCAATAAATTATAATTATTGAACTAGTAAATGAATAAGAATGAAATTTTTAGGGGTCACAGTGAAGAAAAGTAGAAGTACCAAATAAAAATTGTCGATTTTTAGATGTTTGAAATCTACTGCCACCTTTCTTTCAATAAATTATAATGATTGAACTAGTAAATGAATAAGAATGAAATTTTTGGAGGTACCAATGAAGAGAAGAAGAAATAACAAATAAAAATTGTCGATTTTATAGATGTTTGAAATCTACTGCCACCTTTTTTAAAATAAATCATAATTATTGAACTAGTAAATGGATAAGAATGAAATTTTTAGGGGTGACAGTGAAGAAAAGTAGAAGTAACAAATAAAAATTGTCGATATTTAGATGTTTGAAATCTTCTGCCACCTTTTTTTCAATAAATTATAATGATTGAACCAGTAAATGAATAAGAATGAAATTTTTAGGGGTGACAGTGAAGAGGACTAGAAGTAACAAATAAAAATTATTTCAGTTATAAATAATGTGTTTACATATCGATAATTGTCACCAAAACCTGCAGCAAACGTGTTGGCAATAGTTGAGTAATAAACAAGTTCTAAATACATACGAATTATACATGATTATACATGAGTACATACGTATAAATTATATATTTTTATATGAATACATAGATTGGATTTCAGACCACTGATATTGCCACGAAGTCGTAATTATTACTATTTATATTTGGAAAAATTCAGTTTACCGAAAGTCGATACGACCCAGCCCCGAAATCGTTTCACACACGGAATTTAGATTCGTTGATCAGAATATTTGGAAAGGTTGTTTTACTATCCAAGACTTTGCATCGCCCCGAGCTAATAATTCATGAGATTATACTCGTGAATACGCCGTTTATGGCCGTAAAGACGAATTCCTCTCACGCCGTACACATTTACAGCTCGGGATAGTGGACTCCCGATCAAAACTTCAGACCCTCGATAATTTATATCTTTAATAGCATTATATTTTAACGTATGCGTTTTATTATTATTATATTTAAATTACAATATTTCGTCTGCCATTTGATTCTTTTTGTTTAAATTTTAACTTCAAATTCATAATCAGTATTCTCTAAGACCTCTAAACACTGAAAATTGTACGAATTAATGTAGGAGGAGACAAAATAATAAACGTATGTATATATTTTACGTATGTTTTCCGTATCATTGTACGTCGCGTATACGTAAAATTATTACACACATCCACAGTGTCTCAGCTATACATAGTCGCGCCCGATTGCGTCGATTCGTCGTGCAACGAGTATTCCTACAAGAATTATCATTGAGAAGCGAGGTGACCGTAATCGTCGAGCGATTACTTCAATAATTTCACGCTATCGCTACAAGTGTAGTATCGTCTATTGATACGTTTCATGTCCTCGGGAGATATCGTTATCCCAGGTCAATAAATCTCCCTCTCTCCGCTAACCCGTTTCGTTCATTCAGCAGCTTCCATTTTTCTTTCGAGTCTTTCTCCCCCTTTCGGCGAGATTTCGTCGAGTTTAGACGCTTACCCGGGACGCGTCAGTCATCGATCCCGAAAGACTTTCGCCAAAGACTTTCGCCAAAGACTTTCGCCCGTGGTATAATTTCCCGGATTATTTCGATTCTCGGCCGCGCTCGCCCGGCTCGAATGAATGATGGATGAGCAGCAAATAGGGAAGAAGTCCGTTTCTGGCCAGCCAATAATAATACAGAGTTCGCGGCACGAACTCCGATTCATCTTGTCGCTGTTGCGTTCAGGCGATACAGTGGATGGAGGTGTTTTTTCGCGAGAAAAACTGAAAGCGATGGTCGATCTCGTGGTCAGAAGCTTCGAACTTTAGGTTTCAGGATAGGTAGTCATTAAGGGATCGTTTAGAGATAGATTAGGTGCGGAAGGTGTTGGTTGTTAGGTGATTCGATCGTTTATAATTGTAGTTTAGGTCTGAGTTAGGTCTGGGATAGGTCTGGGTTAGGTAGGTAATAGCTATTAGGTAATATTATTTAGTCTTCGTTTTTTTTAGGTCAAATTACCAGGCTATGACTCAACCTGATGGTCCATTACGATTTATCTATGTACAGGAAGTTAAGTAATCTTTGGATTTTGCTTATTGTTGGTCTTCTGACAGATCATCGGTGTACTTGACAATTACTCGGCGTAGAAATGAATTCTCTGCCTTCGCATTTAATTATTTATGATTTTAGTTTAAACAGAAATGGTTAAGTAGGATTATTTCATTAAAGCCAATTTAATAATTGACGTTCAATACATATGTAGATAGGTTATTGATTACATTAAGAATAGTTAAGAGTTACCCATCATTTTGTTACATGAAAGTTATTAACATTCATGGTAATGAAACACACAGATATTTACAACTGTACGTGCTCTCTTGGAATGTATGACTGAACGAAGATTAAAAGATGCTTGGTTTTTCTTTATAAAGAAATTATAAGTTTGCCTTGAGAAAGACACAGAAGAACCCTTTCTCATTGTGACACTTTCGACTCTCTGTTCCATGAATTTCATTTTACACTCGAAAGCAGCAATAGTCACACTGGATGTCTTCGTTGGTTTTTTTTAATAATTAAATTGTAAGTTTACTTTGGAAAGGTATGAATTAATTTCTCCAGCTGACACAACAAATTGAGCCTTTGTACTCCTTATACTCGAGACTCTCTATTCCATGAATTATTACATTTTACAATATTTACACTCGATGTCGTTTTCGCCCTCAGGGGCTGTAGCGGTGTTTGTAGCTACAGTACGGGCTTAGCAACCACGAGGTACCCGAGCTAAACTCCGATTCATCTTGTCGCTGTTGCGTTCAGGCGATACAGTGGATGGAGGTGTTTTTTCGCGAGAAAAACTGAAAGCGATGGTCGATCTCGTGGTCAGAAGCTTCGAACTTTAGGTTTCAAGATAGGTAGTAATTAAGGGATCGTTTAGAGATAGATTAGGTGCGGAAGGTGTTGGTTGTTAGGCCAGCGGGCCCCAATAGATGAGAAGTAAGAGATATTGCAAACAGTATTAACCCTTTGCGCTCGAGGCATTTTTCTATAGAATGAAATCGAGTCCATTTTTATAATAAGTTTCTGTAAAGCCAAAAGCTCTGCTTCGAAAAGAAACATCTGAAAACATTCACGACTCAATGTATACTATTTCAATTAATAATTAGCTGTATTTTGATATAAATAAAATTAAAATAGTACGTTCAAAAATCACTTTTAAATTACATATGTCGCCCTAGAGGCGCCACTCGAACGCAAAGGGTTAAAATAATGCAGGAGTCATGTAAGAAGATGATAAGAAGAATGGAAATAAGCTAGTAATAAGTAAGCAGTAGTGCAATAACTTTGTAGAATAAGTTACGCACTTGAAATAAACTAACGAACGAACGAACGATGTCACTTTCAACGTGGATTAATTTTGAAAGAACTTTTCTCCGTTTTTCAAAGCTAGTTAACGTGGTTTAACGTTGATTTTCAGCGATAACGAGGATCGAGGGAATGACGGGAAGGTCCAGTACCAAACGAACGGGCTTGTGTCTGCTGGCACTATTGCTGTGCTGCTTCACCAGCGACAACCTCTTCGTCGCCGCAGAGCCAGAACCGATTCCAGCGGAGCTGCACTACAGCGACAATTTCATTAACAACGCCGAAAATTTCGTAAGTACACTTTTTTTTTTTTTTTATTCTATTCCTTCCAAATCATGAACAATTCAAATTATTTCAAATATCTTGCAAATCTTGGATTCACGCGTTCGCAGATTCTACTAAACAAGCTGAGTCAAGTGATCGAGGAAAGAAAGGACACCGCGGAAAGGGGGAAAGAGTTAGAGAACGAGCAGATGGTTATTCAAACGGTGCTGGACGCCAGGGCGAAGACAAAGACGAGACTTCCCCCGGGTGACTATTCCATCGAGGAACTACCGACGCCCAATGCCGTCGTAGGGCAAATGCGACGTTCGGGGAAACGTACCGCTGCGTTAAGCTGTGAGTATTTCTTGCAATGCATTGCGAATAGAAAATAAGATCGTTAGGCCGATCGAACACGGGCGCAACCGATCAGTTTGAAAACTAGTGAAACTAGTTGCATGCGACCGTGGATCTAGGTAAAACAAAGATAGCGAAGTAGGTGAAACGAAGAACGCAAACGGTTGGCAAGCCTAATTTCAAATCGGTTGCGCACGTGTGCGTTCGGCCTTACGGTTCAAAAACTTGTGGTACAATCGGTACCATCGGTCGCAAATTTGTATGAAAGTTCGTACGAATGGTTGGGCTAACTTAAAAAAAAAAAAAAAAAAAGAAACGATGCTGCGGTTTGATATGGGAATCGCTCGTTTTATTTATGCTCTATCCAATCAATTGAACGTGTTATCAACCATACATAGTACATACTATCAATTATAATGAAAAGCTATTTGAACATTTCTGACCTTAAGAAATGAAAAAGGCTATTTCTATTATTGGAAATGGGTGAATAATAAAATACTGAATTTATAGATTCACTTTAGCTTTATTCGCTAAATTGTCGCGAGCAAACTGTGATCTTTTCTCAACGAGGAGCTGCGCAAGACCGGCTGATGAACGTTGAAAGAAAAACGTAGAAAGAATTTCTAGCTGTATACAGCGTAGTTTTAGCACATCTGTTTAGTCCAGTGATGGGCAAAACCCTAGGCTTCGAATAAATCGTGAGTTTACTGATATGTTTGTCTCGTTTCCTCTTTTGAACAGTCTTCAAAGAAGGAAACGAGACAAACATATCGTCAAACTTCACATTTATTCGAAGCCTAGGGTTTCGCCCATCTCTGGTTTAGTCTTTAATAAACTAGTGGAAGGGTCCTCTCAAACACTTGAAAGGATAGGCCATAGCATAAACTGCAAACTTTCTCTTTCGTTGTTCTGCAGTGACAAAAATAACGTTGTGCATTTATCCTCGGTACATTTATTTTTTTAGTAAAATGACATATTGCTGTTTAGCAAATATTCCAACATCTATCCACAATTTACCTTACATACGTAATCAAATGTTAACCCTAGACAACATTTAACAAAACGTCGAATGTTTCAAAGACTCGTAAAAGCACCCCTGGGAAGTATCTTCAATTATACTATAGGAAACTTACCTTTTTTCCTGTTTTTTTATCATACGAATTTCTGAGTAACGCCCATACCTATCGTATGATAAAAGATTCGGGTGTGTAATAAAATTTTTCTATCACGGAATACACTGGAAAATCGTAATTTACCCTGTATCGAACCACGCACGACAAAAATGTACAGAAACTCTGGATCGCAAAGGGTTAATCGTCCAGCTTATACGAAAACAACATTCCCAGTTGCATTTTCTCTATCCTCCACGTTCGTTGGATTAGCTCGCCCACGTTGGCACGCGGACAGATTTGAAAATTATCAGAGATTCCCCGGGTATTGTATCCGGACTCTCCATATGATTCTGTGGGAGAACAGAAGCGATTCTCGAGGCGGAAAGAAGGTAGCTTCTCCTCGGGTATGTGCTCGCGAACTTTCGAAACTTCGATATCCCGCGTTTCTTCGTGTGTTCTTTCTTCTCGATTAAGGAACACTTGGCAGCGTACGTGCCCCGCGTTAAAATGCCTCCATCCCCCTCCCCCTAGCGCTCCGTGAAAACGCCAAGTACGAGTCCATTCTTATCGAAGTGATCGCGTCTTAATCGGGGAAACTCATCCTCAAGTTCTTCGTTGTATCTAGGCTTTCTGGGACCGATCCTATTACAGTAGCGGCTCGCATAATGCTCGAAAATCAGGATGGTTACACTATACGCGAGAAAAATTGTTGTCGCACTCGTTTCACAGATTCTGATGAGAAATACCCCTTTAGGGGGTGTGAATTAACCGTTTCTCGTTAACCCTCGTCAATGCAACTTTGCACACACCCAGAGGACACTTCAAAACTAAACCTCGCGAAGTTTCTCGAAGATCGGTTGAAAACTCTCTGAGTTATGACGTTTTAATATAGTGTCCTATTTTTGTTTTTAAAGCCAGTCTATCGGCTGATGTCGATTGTTTTTATTGTTTCTTATGTATTCCATGCGTACGATCGCGGCAATAGTCGAGGTTCATTAATATACAGGGTGTCCCAAAAGTCGGGGAGGAGCCGGAAATGGGAGGTAGCTGAGACGATTCTGAACAACAATTTCCTTTGCAAAAATGTCGGATGGGGCTTCGTTAAGGAGATATTAAGCGAAAACCCCGACCAATCAGAGCGCGCGTAGACCGTTGGAGCGGCCGCGGTAGCGAAGGCTACGAGCTAAGCGGCCGCGCCCAATGTCCTTCGATGCACGTCAAGTCACTTGTTCGCGTACAAGCGCGGCCACCAGCGCGTAGCCTGCGCTACCGCGGCCGCTCCAACGGTCTACGCGCGCTCTGATTGGTCGGGGTTTTCGCTTAATATCTCCTTAACGAAGCCCCATCCGACATTTTTGCAAAGGAAATTGTTGTTCAGAATCGTCTCAGCTACCCCCTATTTCCGGCTCCTCCCCGACTTTTGGGACA